GAGCTCCTGACCTTAGGTGATCCACCCGCCTTGGCCTCCCAAAGTGCTGGAATTACAGGCATGAGCCACTGTGCCTGGCCAGGTTTTCTTTTTGCTTCATATATCCTGGATTGGGTGCTGGAGAAGGCTATAATCCAAATCCCAACAAGCACTGACGAAAAAGTAAAAACCCCTCAAAAAGTCTGCTTTGTCTAACTAAAAAACCAGGAAAGGGGCAGCCTAAAAGGACAGAAAATAAAGCACCAGGCTGAAATAAAGCACCTCAACTACCCCACCAGAGTGGTGTCAGAAAAAACTAGGGAGCCAAAACTTTTGTGCCCATTACGCAGCAATGAGCCTCCGACTCCCGTGCTTCACAATGACAGTATAAACCATGTTGGGGGCTTGGTCTTCCACTACCACCAAGTAATAATGAGATGTCCTCCCTCCCTACTGTGGTGGTGTAGAGGAGGCTTGGTGGAGAGTTAGGACTTTTACTACTGCCTAGCAGTAACGAGACCACACTCCTTCATCCCTCTGTGATGTCAGTAGAAAATGTACAAAGAGGAGTGTTGAGACACTTCTAGTTCTCTAAGTCAAGGAGGCCTAGTTGAAGCCAGAACACATAGCCTTGCCAAGAAAGAACAAAGAGCCGCTGACCAGACCTGTCAATGAAGGCTGAGTACTGAACTTCTACCCCTAACTGGTGGTAATGAGATAACATTCCACCACCCTGCTTTCCCTGCTAGAGTGGTATCAGAGGAAGCCAGCTAAAACAAACTTTAAATAAGATTCAGAGTCTCATAACATAATGGTTCAAAAATCCCCATTTCAATAGAAAATCACTTGTCATACCAAGAACTAGGAAGATCTCAAACCGAATGAAAAAAAGTCAATAGATATCAGCTCCTAGATGACAAGAGAGTTTAGAATTATCTGGCAAATATTCTAAATGAGCCACCATAAAGATGTTTCAATGAGTAATTACAAACATGCTTGAAATAATTTTTTTTTAAAAATAGAATTTCAGCAAATAGAAAATCTCAGTAAAGAAGCAGAAGAGATGAAGAATCAACAGGAAATTTTAGAACAAAAAATATAATAACTGGAATAAAAATGAAAAAAGCAAAATAGAGATGACAAAGCAAATAATAAGTAAACCAGAAGACAGAACAATAGAAATTACCCAATCTCAACAACAGAGTTAAAAATAGTGTGGGAAAAACAAAAATGAACAAAGCCTTAGAAACATAAGGAACCATAACAAAAGATCTAACTTTTATGTCATTAGAGTGCCAGAGGAGATGATAAAGAGGTACTTAAAGAAGTAAGACTGGTGCTGGGCGCGGTGGCTCACGCCTGTAATCCCAGCACTTTGGGAGGCTGAGGCAGGTGGATCACAAGGTCAAGAGATCGAGACCATCCTGGTCAATATGGTGAAACCCTGTCTCTACTAAAAAAATACAAAAAATTAGCTGGGCATGGTGGCGCGTGCCTGTAATCCCAGCTACTCAGGAGGCTGAGGCAGGAGAATTGCCCGAACCCAGGAGGCAGAGGTTGCGGTGAGCCGAGATCATGCCATTGCACTCCAGCCTGGGTAACAAGAGCAAAACTCCGCCTCAAAAAAAAAAAAAAAAGAAGTAAGACTGAAGGGCTGGGCACAGTGGCTCACACCTGTAATCCCAGCACTTTGGGAGGCTGAGACGGGTGGATCACGAGGTGAAGCGATCGAGACCATCCTGGCCAGCATGGTGAAACCCCGTCTCTACTAAAAATACAAAAATTAGCTGGGCATGGTGGTGCACGCCTGTAGTCCCAGCTACTCCGGAGGCTGAGGCAGGAGAATTGCTTGAACCCAGGAGACAGAGGTTATGGTGAGCCGAGATCGAGCCATTGCACTCCAGCCTGGGTAACAAGAGCGAAACTCCGTCTCAAAAAAAAAAAAAAAAAAAAAAGAAAGAAGACTGAAAACTTGTGAAGTTTGACAAAAGACATAAACCTACAGATTCCAGAAACTGAGCAAATGTGATAAACCGAAAGAAATATATAACAAGACATATCGTAATCAAACTTCTAACAATTGAAGACAAACAATCTTGAAAGCAATGAGAAAAAAAATGACAGTTTACACACATTACTAGGGGATAAACAATTCAAATAACAGTGGATTTCTCATTAGAAATTATGGAAGCAGAAGGAAGTGGCACAACATTTTTCAAGTGGTTAAAGCAAAGAATCATCCACTCAGAATTCAGCAAAAATATCCTTCAGGGATGAAAAACAATAAAGACATTCTCAGATGAAGGCATATCAAGAGAACTTGTTGCCAGCAGACTTACACTTTAAAAATGACCAATGAAAATGCTCTAAACAAAAAAAATGATGAAAGAAGGAATCTTGGAATATCACAAAAGAAAAAAGAACAATACAGGAAAGATAAGCAAAAATATGGGTAAATATATAGATTTCTTTCTGTTTTTGAGTTTTCTAAATTTTGTTTGATGAATTAAAAAATTACAATACTGTATGATGCAGTTTTAAATGCATGTAGAGAAAATATTTAAGGTACTATAAATGGGGGATATGTAAAATGATATAAAGGGAGATAAATTTCTACATGTCACTCAAAGTAGTAAAATAACACCACCGGTAGACTGAGATAAGTTATATATATGTATGGTAATACCTAGAGCAACCAATACAAAAATAAAGATTTTCATTTTAAAACACTGTAGATAGGCCAGATGCAGTGGTTCACATTTGTTATCCCAGCACTTTGGGAGCCCAAGGCAGACGGATCACAAGGTCAGAAGATCAACACCATCCTGGCTAACACAGTGAAACCTCATCTCTACTAAAAATACCAAAAATTAGCCGGCCATGGTGGTGGTCGCCTGTAGTCCCAACTACTTGGGAGGCTGAGGTAGGAGAATTGCTTGAGGCAAAGGTAGTAGTGAGCCAAGATTGTGCCACTGTACTCCAGCCTGGCAACAGAATAAGACTCTGTCTCAATCAATCAATCAATCAATCAAGCACTGTAGATAAATAAAAATGGAATTCTAAAAAATGTTAAGTAACCTACAGGAAGAAACTGAAAAAAAAAAAAAAAAAAAAACGACATTAAAAGGATAAAACAAACAGGAAAAATAAAACAAAATACTTATGCCTCCAGGTAACAATAATTACATTGACTATAAATGGTCTAAATATACTAATTAAAAGATAGATATTGCCGGGCGCGGTGGCTCAAGCCTGTAATCCCAGCACTTTGGGAGGCCGAGGCAGGTGGATCACGAGGTTGAGAGATTGAGACCATCCTGGTCAACATGGTGAAACCCCCGTCTCTACTAAAAGTGCAAAAAATTAGCTGGGCATGGTGGCACGTGCCTGTAATCCCAGCTACTCAGGAAGCTGAGGCAGGAGAATTGCCTGAGCCCAGGAGGAGGAGGTTGCGGTGAGCCGAGATTGCGCCATTGCACTCCAGCCTGGGTAACAAGAGCGAAACTCCGTCTCAAAAAAAAAAAAAAAAAAAAAAGATAGATATTGGCAGAGTGGATTAAAAACAAGACCCAGAGAAGTCACGAGCGGGAACAGCCATGAAAATCTCTAGAAAATGATTGTGTTCTTTAAACATTTTGAAATCATTGGAAGAAAACTACAGCTGGGCTCTGCCTGCTGACCTGGGGAGGCCATTGGCTCTATGGAAAACACTGTGATAACCTACTAAAGAGAGCAGCCTGTCAAGAAGCTCAGGTGTTTGACAATCAACTTATTCATTCCTCCCCATGCACAAGTGAAGAAGGCAACTGTTTTTCTCAATCCTGCAGCTGGCAAAGGCAAAGCCAGGACTTTATTTGAAAAAAATGCTGCCCCAATTTTATATTTATCTGGCATGGATGTGACTATTGTTAAGACACATTATGAGGGACAAGCCAAGAAACTCCTGGAACTGATGGAAAACACAGATGTGATCATTGTTGCAGGAGGAGATGGGACACTGCAAGAGGTTGTTACTGGAGTTCTTCGATGAACAGTTGAGGCTACCTTCAGTAACATTCTCATTGGATTTATCCCACTGGGAGAGACCAGTAATTTGATTCATACCCTCTTTGCCAAAAGTGGAAAGAAAGTCTAACATATTACTGATGCCACACCTGCCACTGTATAAAGAGAAACAGTTCCACTTGAGGTCATGCAGATCAAGGGTGAAAGGAACTGCCTGTGTTTGTGATGACCAGCCTTTGATGGGGATCCTTCAGAGATGCTGGCATCAAAGTTAGCAAGTACTGGTATCTTGGGCCTCTAAAAATCAAAGCAGCCCACTTTTTCAGCACTCTTAAGGAGTGGCCTCAGATTCATCAAGCCTCTGTCTTGTACACAGGACTTACTACAGAGAGACCTCCCAGTGAGCCAGAGGAGACCCCTGTACAAAGGCCTTCTTTGTACATGAGAATATTATGAAGGCTTGCATCCTATAGGCATAACCACAGGATGCCCTTTCCCAAGAGGTCAGCCCAGAGGTCTGGAAAGATGTGCAGACCTCTGCACAGCAAAAGAAACAATCAACAAAATGAAGAGACAACCCAGAGAATGGGAGAAATTATTTGCAAACTACCTATCTGACATGGGATTAATAACCAGAAAATATAAGGAGCTCAGACAACTCAACAGAAAAAAGAATCCAAATTGAAAATGGGCAAAAGATATGAGTAGACATATCTCAAAAGAAGACATACAAATGGCCAAGGGGTATATTTAAAAAATCCTCAACATCACCAATCATAAGAGAAATGCAAATCAAAACTGAGATATTATCTCAGTCCAGTTAAAATGAGTTTTATAAAAAAGCCAGGCAATAATGGATGCTAGGGCAGATGGGGAGAAAGTGGAACCCTCCTACACTGTTGGTGGGAATGTAAATTAGCACAGTCACTATGGAGAACAAAATGGAGACTTCTCAAAAAAAAAAAAAAAAAAAAAAAAAAAAAAAAAAAAACCTAAAAATGCTCTTTTCGTCTTAGGCCACCGCTGCGAAGGGAACTGCCATCATGTCTGCGCATCTGTAATGGATGGTTGTGGAGAACTGCTCCAGTTTCATGATCAAAAGGAATAAGTGAACCTACAGCATGGAGCCCAATAACTTGAAGGCACACAATTCCTTCTGCTACAAGGGTCTGATTCACCACAAGACCGTGGGCGTGGAGCCAGCAGTCATTGGCAAAGGTGTGGTGGTCATGAAGAGGAGATCCGGCCAGCGGAACCCTGCTGCCTCCTACGTGTGGGCCACCATCAATAAGAATGTTCGAGCCACACTTAGCCACATCAGACACATGATCAGCAAGAGCAAGTACCGCCCTGACCTGCACATGGCAGCATCCGCAGGGCCAGTGCTACCTGTGCAGCCAGAAACCTGTGATGGTGAAGAGGAAGCAGACCTGCTCCACCAAGAACTCCTGAGCCCCCTGCCCCCAAAGCAGTAAAGACTCAGCTGGCTTTCTCTCTCTCTCTCTCTCTCTCTCTCTCTCTCTCTCTCTCTCTCTCTGTCTCTCTCACACACACACACACACACACACAACGAAAAATAGAACTATCTGATGACCTAGCCATCCTAAGCTGGGTATAGGATCCGTATAAAAGGAAATCAGTATATTGAAGAAGTATCTGTACTCCCATGTTTATTGCAGCACTATTCACAGTAGCCAACATATGGAATCAACCTAAGTATCCATCAATGGATAAATGGACAAAGAAAATGTACATATATACAATACAATATTATTCAGCCACAAAAAAAGAATGAAATTCTGTTATTTGCAACAATATGGATGGAACTGGAGGGCATTATGTCAGGTGAAATAAACCAGGCACAGAAAGACAAATATCACATGTTCTCGCTTATATGTGGGGGCTAAATGTGTTGATCTCATGAAGATACAGGGTAGAATGAGCATTACCAGAGGCTGGGAAGGATACCAGAAGTGGAGAGAGGGTGATAAAGAGGGATTAGTTAATGGGCACAAAAATATAGATAGAAGAAATAAGATATAATGTTTGGTAGCACAATAAGGTGACCATAGTTAACAGTAATTTATTGTATATTTCACAATAGCAGAGTGGAATTGGAATGTCCCTAACACAAAGAAATGATTAATGTCCAAGTTGGTATCTCAGTTACCCTGATTTGATCATTACCCGTTTAATGCGTATATCAAAATATTACTTCTATAAAATATGTGCAACTATTATATATCCATAAAAATTAGAAAAAAAACCCTAAACATGCAACTACACAGTGACCCAGCAATTGCACTCCTGGGCATTTATCCCAAAGAAATAAAAATTTATATTCACGTAAAAAGCCGTACACAGATGTTTATGGCAGCTTTATTTATAAGAGTCGAAAATAAGGGCCACGTGCAGTGGCTCATGCCTGTAATCGCAGCACTTTGGATAAGTGAGAGATTGAAGTAGGTGGATCTCTTGAGCTCAGGAGTTGGAAACCAGCTTGGGCAACATGGTGAACCCTCATCTCTACAAAAAATACAAAAGTTAGCCAATGTGGTGGTGCATGCCTGTGGTCCCAGCTACTCAGGAGGCTATGGAAGGAGGATGGCTTGAGCCCTATAGGCGGAGGTTGCAGTGAGCTGAGATTGTGCCACTGCACTCCAGACTGGACAACAGAGTGAGACCTTGTCTCAAAAACAAACATGCAAACAAACTAACACCTGAAAACAATTTGGATGTCCTTCAATCCTTCAGTGGGTGAATATTTAAAAATCTGTGGCACATCCATACCATGAAATACTCAACAACAATAAAAAGGAATGCATTCTTGATACATACAAAAAAAAAGATGAATCTTCAGGGAATTATGCTTAATGAAAAAATAAATCCTGAAAGTTTACATACAAATGATTCCATTTACATAACATTCTCAAAATGACAAAAATCATAGAAATGGAAAACAAATTAGAGGTTCTTGGGGGCTAAGGAGGGAGTCAAGGTAGGAGTGAAATGTGTAGCTCTAAACGGGAAACAGGGACTCTTGTGGTGTTGGAATTGTTCTGTATCTTGACTGTATTAATGTCAATATCCTATAATTTTGCAAAATGTTATCATTAAAGGAAACTGGATAAATTTTACATGGGATTTATTTTTCTTTCCTTTTTCTTTCTTTTCTTTCTTTCTTTCTCTTTTCTTTTTTAACAACTGCAAGTGAATCTCTAAGGAGACTTTTAGAAAAATATTAAATTGACAGGCGCAGTGGCTCACTCCTGTAATTCCAGCATTTTGGGAGGCCAAGACAGGTGGATGACGTTGTCAAGAGATTGAGACCAACCTGACCAACATGGTGACAACCTGTCTCTACTAAAAACACAAAAATTAGCCGGGTTTGGTGGCATGCGCCTGTAATCCCAGCTACTTGGGAGGCTGAGGCAGGAGAATTGCTTGAACCTGGGAGGCAGAGGTTGCAGTGAAACGAGATCACAGCACTGCACTGCAGCCTGGCAACAGGGAGAAAGTTCGTCTCAAAAAAAAAAAAACAAAAAAGAAAAAAAAAAAGAAAAATATTACCCAGCCTTAGTTTACTATTTATCTGTAAAATGAAGGAAATAATAGCTGTACTGTATCCTGGAATTGGGCAGCTAAAGTTGGAAAATGCTTAAGAACTTGGACATAGTGCTACATACTTGGGTTTACAGACTTCTGGATCACAGAGTTGTTAATAATTTTCTATTTCATTGGTATCCAATTTATTTTTTTTCTAGACCACAGATTGGACACTGAGGAGACTGGTGGGAAACAGCAAAGGTGCTTCTCAGACCTTCTCCTTCCAGCATCCAGCCACACTTCCCTCTCAGTCTTGCTTTCATCCGTTTTCCATATTAGAATTCTGAAGCGTTTTGTAGAAGAAAATTGTGTTTTACTTACATTTTGAAACCAACTCATTTAATTCCAATCTTTCACTTTACTGATCAGGAGATAGAAACCAGAGAGGTTTAATGACTTACTCAAGACACTGAGGCAGTTGGTGGTGAAGCTGAGAACAGAACCAGGTCTAGTGACCCCACAGTGTTTTTTCCACTAAATCATGGTGACTTGTATGTTGATTGCTTTCTCAATATTTTTGTCAGCAATCAAATAGCTTCTTAAGCAGCTAATAATTTAAGAAAGCAACACCATATTGTTGTCTAGAGGCATAATTTTGTGCAGTACTTCTTAAGCATATGGGTAGAATTTTAAGCATTTTGGTAGTTGAGGTCTGGGATATTGTTCAAGGAGTATCTTAAACATAGGTACATTGTTTAGCGTACATATTGGAAAAGCTTATTGGTGCCACCTAGTGGTTGGAGTGATAGGTATTAGCAGCAATTCAGAAGATATCTCAATGCCCCACCCCACCCCACTTTTGTTTATGCTTTATCAATGGATACATTAAGTCATCGCCAACCACCTCAGCCACTTTATTTCTATAATATTTTAGGTGAAAAATGCTTTTTAGAATACAAAAGAAGAGACTTGGTTTTGGGTTAGCTGTAAAGTTTATCTCTGCTAATTAAACTTTCTTCTTTTTTTTTTTTTTTGAGACGGAGTTTCGCTCTTGTTACCCAGGCTGGAGTGCAATGGCGCGATCTCGGCTCACCGCAACCTCCGCCTCCTGGGTTCAGGCAATTCTCCTGCCTCAGCCTCCTGAGTAGCTGGGATTACAGGCACGTGCCACCATGCCCAGCTAATTTTTTGTATTTTTAGTAGAGACGGGGTTTCACTATGTTGACCAGGATGGTCTCGATCTCTTGACCTCGTGATCCACCCGCCTCGGCCTCCCAAAGTGCTGGGATTACAGGCTTGAGCCACCGCGCCCGGCCAACTTTCTTCTTAATAGAGCAAATTATTTAGATGAATTATTTTCAAACTCAAATTACCTGCTAGTTACAATTAATTCTTAAATCAGAAAAAACAGACACTTAGCACAGATCCTTAGGATTCCAGTAAAATGAATAGTTGGGTTCAGTATGTGTTTAGAAGTACTAATTTTTAAAAAAAAATTCTGTGATTCAGATTTTTTATTGAAACAGGTATTTTTCTGTTAAAATATCTTGTGACCATATTAAAGACTATTGTCATAAGAGCTGCAATAATAATTAAGTGCACAATTTAATCACTAGAAGATTTTAACCATTTGAAGTTTTCTAATGAGCATACATTTCTTTCAATGAAAACTTATACTGAACAGATACAATCCTTGTCCTAACATCAAAGCAATTATTTGCAGACCAAACTCATCAGTACAATTATCAAATACCTAAAACATTTAATTACATATTTATTCTCACCATACATTTTTTTTCTCTTATGAAGGGTCACGAAAGGAGTGAATCACAAAATAATTTGTTTGCCCAAGGTGTTATTAACTTTAGAAATTGCTGGTCTTCTGGGCTGGCCCATTTATCAAAGCCATTTTCAGAACAATTATGACAATGATGACTAAATACACAAGTAGACAAAAGATGTTTGGCAGACAAGGAAAAGGGAAGTTGTTAACAAGTCTGTAAAAGGAACTTGAATAAACCCAAGAATTGCAGGGTACAAAGGTGAGTGTTGAGAGGAATGGGATTAGTGACAGGAAGAGAACAGAAAAATGTTTTAAGAAAAAAATGCCCAGCGTGTGGTGGCTCACATCTGTAATCCTAGCACTTTAGGAGGCTGAGGCGGGTGGATCACTTGAAGTGTAGAGACCAGCCTGGCCAACATAGTGAAACTGTATCTCTACTAAAATTACAAAAATTAGCTGGGCATGGTGGCGAGTGCCTTTAATCCCAGCTAATCGAGGCTGAGGCCGGAGAATCACTTGAGCTTGGGAGGTGGAGGTTGCAAGAGCTGAGATCGTGCCACTGCACTGCAGCCTGGGCGACAAAGCAAGACTTAAAAAAAAAAAAAAAAAAAAAAAAAAAAAAGTGAGGTGTCATCATCAGAAAAGGGAGAAAGTTCTCAGATAATACTTAAGAGGGCTGAAAAAGTTTAACTAATGGGAGGAATTTGGAAAACATATTTAAGTGCCCACTTAAAACTTTCAACCTGTGCAAATCATGCTTTCTGGTGTTTTTGTTTTTTTTTTTCTGAGAGTTTCACTCTGTTGCCCAGGCTCCGGAGTGCAGTGACATGATCACAGCTCACTGCAGCCTTGACTGTGCTTAAGCCACACTCCCATTTCAGCATCCTGAATACCTGGGACCACAGGCCCACACCATCATACCCAGCTAATCTTTGTATTTTTTTGTGGAGATGGGGTTTTTGCCATGTTGCCCAAGCTGGTTTCCAACTCCTGGGCTCGAGCGATCCTCCTGCTTCAGCCTCCCAAAGTGGCCTGAGCCACTGTGCCTGGCTAAATTTATTTTAATAATTGAGAAATTTTAAACCATTGATCAGATTTATATTTTCAGACTGCCAATTCGAAAAGATTTACTGAGAAAACATGATACAAAGGTAGTCCACTT